TTTCTTTCTTTCTTTCTTTCTTTCTTTCTTTCTTTCTTTCTTTCTTTTTTTCTTTCTTTCTGTTTCTCTCTCTCTTTTTCTTTCTTTCTTTCTTTCTTGATACAAGGTCTGGCTCTGTTGTCCAGGCTGGATGGAGTACAGTGGGGCAATCTGGGTTCACTGCAACCTTGACCTCCCAGGCTCAAGCCAACCTCCCAACTCAGTCTACTGAGCAACTGGGACCATAGGCACACACCGCCATGCCCAGTCAGTTTTTGTATTTTTTGTAGAGACGGAGTTTTGCCATATTGCCCATTCTGGTCTTGAACTCCTGAGCCCAAGAAATCTACCAGCCTTGGCCTCCCAAATTGCTGGGATTATAGGCATGAGCACTGTGCCTGACCTGTTTGTTTCTTTACACACACACACACACACACACGGCACAAGGTGGGTCACAAACAAGGTGTGACCTGTAGTCCTGGTTAGTCAGGAGGCTGAGGCAGTAGGATCGCTTGAGGTCAGCAGTTTGAGGCCAATCTGGACAACATAGTGAGACCCCTGACTCTGAGAAAAACAAAACAAAGTATGTCTGTAATGTATTAAAGCTGACTTTCCTCTTTGATTTCTAAATCAAGTCTAATGGCAATTTCTAGAGGGATATTCTACAACTAATCAGCAGTGCCACTGGATTAAATATGCAGCTTCCCAAGGAAGCCCTTTGAAGGGCACTGCAATCTTTGAAATGCACATCAGGAAAAAAATCCTAGTAGGCTAATATAAATATTTTTATTGCTTTCAACTCCTAGGTCTGCCAGTTAGTCACCTGTGTGATCTTGGGTAAGTTACCTAACTTCTCTGGGGCTCTGTTCCTTCATCTGTAGAAAGGGGATAACAATAGTTGCTAATGAATTGATACCAGTAAGATGTGCTTAGAACAATGCCCAGCCCACAGTAAGCCCTTAATTAATGGTCGCACCATATAAACTCTTGTCCTTTACTTTCTAGGCACATCCTAGGATAGAAAATCCAGTGAGTTGAGGCCTATTAGGTAGCTTGGCATGCCTGAGGCCTGGCATCAGGTATGTGCTCAATGTGTGTTTGTTGATCCAAATGCACTAAACAAAGCCCCTTTAGAAGCTGAGGGGCTTGCATCAGGGTTTACTGAAAACAGGAATCTCTCTTGGATTGATTTCTATACTCAACATGTTTTAGGTATTTTCTGAAAATGCAGTGCACCCCAATCCTGGGTTATAACTAGGGTGAGACTGACTTTGGAAGGGAAATCTGCCTTAGGATCCTTTTAGAGCAACCCTTTTCCCTACGGGAACACTTGTATTTCCATGCAGTGGGGTTTGGAAGGCTGGGATCTGTGCTCTCAACAGGGGCTCTTTCGGTCACATTGGGGAGCAGTTCTTGCTAAAATGTTGATTTGTGAGTCTTCCTTCCTTCTTTCCTATGGTAGTATGCACATCTAAGTGGGAGAAGCTTTAAAAACTTTACAGATTTTCCAAGGAAAGATGGCAGGCACCTTGATAGAAGTGAAGAGGAGAATTTTTGATTATTTGGAAGGAACTTGGAAGAAACCCCTCTGAGCACAGTGAAAATCCTAGCAATGTATAAGACATAGTGTTTTCATAGGTAAGAGTACAGGCAATGGGGGCAGACAGACGTGTCTTCCAATTCTGGCTCTAGCTAACACAAACGGGGTGACCTGGAGGAAGCCGCTCTAAGCCACAGAGTCTCATTGGTCAGATGGGAATAATCCTAACACCTACCTCATTGGGTTGTTAGGAGATTTCAACGAAAGAGGCCCATAAAGCACTTAGCAGAGTGCCTGGCAAACTAAAGCTAATAAGTGGTTGCTATTACAGTAGTCCCAGTTTATCCACTGTTTCAGTCACTTGTGGTCAACCATGGTCTGAAAATATTAAATGAAAAAATCCAGAAATAAACAATTCATAAGTTTTAAGTCATGGGCTGCTCTGAGTGGTGTGACGAAACCTCATGCTGTCCTGCTCATGCTGTCTGCCTTTGTTCTGCCCAGGACGAGAACCTTCCTCCAGCATATCTGCTGTCCACGCTACCTGCCAGTTAGTAAGTTGTTTAGTCGCCACCTGGTTGTCAGAGAACTGTGTGTTTCCCAGTGCTTGTGTTCAAGCAGCTCTTATTTTGCTTAATAATGGCCCCCAAACGCAAGCGTACGGTGCCTAGTTTATAAATTAAAATCTATCATAGGTATGTATACATAGGAAAACTATAGTACATGTTGGGTTCAGTACTATCCGCATTCTCAGGCGTCCTCTGGGGACCTTGGAATGCATCCCCCCTGGACACGGCGGGAACTACTGCATAAGCAGCTGACAATATAATAGCTACCATTTATTAAGCATTTACTATATGCCAACATTTTGCTAAACTGCTTTATGCATGTAGTTTATTTAAACTCCACAGCGACAGCTTAAATTATCATCTGTATTTTACATGAAGAGACTGAGGTCTGGGAATTTCACTGTTTCTTTTTTTTGAGACAGAGTCTTGCTCTGTCACCCAGGCTGGAGTGCACTGGCATAATCACGGCTCACTGCCACCTTGAATTCCTGGGCTCAAGTGATCCTCCCATCTTAGCCCTCTCAGTCTCCTGAGTAGCTGGGACTATAGGCTCGTGTGACCATGTCCGGTTAACTTTTTATTTTTGGTGGAGATGAGGTCTCACTATGTTGCCTAGGCTAACTTATCTGATTTTATCCCAGAGTCATACAAATAGTAGGTGATGAGCCAGGATTTGAGCCTGGGATTCCTTGACTCCAAGGTCTGTCCCTTAAGCTCCGTGCCGTGCTTCCTTCCACATGCTGCCCGTCCTGCCCATGGGCCCTCTCGCTGCAGAGATACCAGCAGTACTTGACTAAAATCAGAGCCCTTCTTTCTCCCTTTCCTTCTCCTTATCATAATGTTTTCTCTTAAAAAGTCTGCTTTACTCTCATGGGGAGAAGTGCCAGATATAGTATGCACCTAAAGGAAAATGAATAAATTAAAAATAAAAATAAAAATAAAATACAAAAAAAGGTCTGCTTTATAGTTTTCAGACCTTTTAAAAAATGAGCTCATGAGACAGAGCTATATATACAAGCTGTATATATAGCTTATCAGACAGTAGAATTATCAGACAGAAACAGAGCTCCTAGATGCTCCTCCTGCCACCTCTAGGACCCCCAGGAATCCCAGATGAGAGCTTCCGCCTCACCTTCATTCCAAATTTATCCACCAGCCTGAACTCTGTGTCACAGCATCACTTCACCTTCTTCCGTCCCCATTGCCACTATGGGGTCTTGAATGAGTTGGGTTATGGCCAAATTGCATATACTGGCCCACATAGTCTTCCAGGGATTGGCCTAGCTGGACAATGGATAGGGACAATCACAGGGCATTCAAAACTCCAGGCCACCCACTGCCCTGTGTGCTCAGTTGGGAAGGAAGAGAGAAGTGAAACATAGTGCGTGTTCCCTCACTGCCAGACCCTGTGCCGGTCAGCTCCAGGTGCATCACCTCATTTAGTAACACTGCAAGGAGTATCACTGGCCTGCTCCTACGGATGAGGAAGAGATTTGTAAAGACACTGAATTAACTTCTCACAAATAAATGTTTACAATTTCCCAGCAGACCACTTTTTTTTTTTTTTTTTTTTAATGAAGTCTTGCTCTGTTGCCAGGCTGGAGTGCAGTGATGCGATCTTGGCTCTCTGCAACCTCTACCTCCTGGGTTCAAGCCTCAGCCTCCTGAGTAGCTGGTACTATAGGCATGCACCACCATGCCCAGTTAATTTTTGTAGTTTTAGTAGAGAAAGGGTTTCACCATCTCGGCCAGGATGGTCTCGATCTCTGGACCTCATGATCTGCCCACCTCGGCCTCCCAAAGTGCTGGGATTACAGGCGTGAGCCCCCGCACCCGGCCCACCATGGGTCTTTACTGTGAAGGTTAACATGCAGCCAGTAAGTGGTAGATCTAGGTTTGGGATTCATATCTGGTTAAGTCTGTACTCTGCGTATGTGAAGCTGTTTTCCAAAAGAAGGAACACACACACACACACACACACACATACACACACACACACACACACACACACACGTCACGCACCTATATAAAGCATTTATATCAAATAAATATCAATGACAACTATAGTATGTATGCTTTTTGAGGGAGTGGAATGGGAAGCAAAGAAATTAATTGAGATACCTACTAGCAGACTAATAATAGGTAAAATTTATTGAGCACTTGCTTGTATCAAGCCCTGTTCTAAGTACTTTCCCTGCATTAGCTCATCTAAGCCTCACAATGACCCTATGAAGTAGGCATAATTGTTACTCCTATTTTAAAGATGAAAAAACTGAAACACAGAGAAGGTAAGCAACTCGCCCAAGCTTACGGATCCAGCAAATGACGGTGCCAGTTACTTGCCTATTGCCACAGCTCCAACTACATTCTCTGTTCTGAGCTGGAACTCTGTGGATTCCCTCAATGACTGGCTTTCTATCAGGCTTTGCTAATAGCAGGCATTAGAGGGCGATCGCAATGCAGAAGGCAGGGAGGCCTCTCATTCTGATACTGGACACCAGAGTCACTCTGTCACAGGAGCAGATTGAGCCTGAACTAAGAGGACAGATGATCACTTTGACACTGAAGGAAATTACTGGGAATAACAAAGGCTTATGGCTTTAATTAGTGGGTCAGCTGATGCCAGTGCCATTTTGAGGTTAAGAGCATCAGGGATCCAAGGAGGGCACTGCTTGGAGAGCTATCAGCTAGGTGCCTTGTTAGGAGAGCTTTGATCTGGGCAGAGGAAGCATCAAGTCCAAGATCTGGAGTAGCAGCCATATAAGCCAATGAGTATGATGCTACCTGGTCTCTTGTTGATGACTGTACATGGGATTGCACTCAGTGAAAGAAAAAAAGACACAAAGGGAAGAAAGAGGTACCTCCATACCATCACCTATGCATTCATCCAATCTAACAAACATCTATTGAGGTACTATCCTGTGCAAAGCACATGTGGGATGGAAGACAGAGAGAGTCAGACATAGATCCTGTCCTGAAGGAATATAACATCCCCCCAGCAGGGATATAACAGGGACATAGCAGTAGTGATATAACAGGAATACAACATCCCCACAGTGGGGGGATGTCACAAAGAGACATACTTACCTTCATGTGCAGTGGGAGATCTGAAGAGGAAAGAGCAGCCCCTAGCTGGATCAATTCTGTGACTTCATGGAGAAAGCAGCAATTGAGATGGGGTGAATGGGGGTATATGTGGGCACATTGAGATATCAGAGGGTTGTAGTGAAGGGTTTGTGAAGAGAAGGAATGGGAGGTAAGATCAGAAGCACAGCTGAGACCATCCTAGGAATGGCCTTGAGTTGCAACTTGGTTCTGTAAGTAGAGAGAAACTGAATGTTTTCAAGCAGGATGTGAAATAATGATTGTTTTTTGAGAGTGTTCTAGAAGCACAGTGAGAAATGAACTGTGGTAGGAACATGAGGTTAAGAAGCTGTTATGATGATCAAGGCAATGAAGGAATGATGAAGGAGTGAATCATGGATGAGGCAGAGAAAACACAGACAAGGAAATGGAGTTCCGAGCCAGATGGTAACACAATTGGTAGGACATAGTGAGAGGTAGGGAGGAGTCAGCTTGGGAGACAGGAAGGAGAGAAATAGGGAGCACGAAAGAAAGAACAAAGTTAAAGAGGTAAAGCTGTAAACTCAATGAACACGGCACATATTGTTTAACTACATGGGCACTACACGGACTGTCACGACCACTACACGGATTGTCACTACACGGACACTATATGGATCAGTTTAACGGATTGGAGGAATAAAGGCGGAGACACAAAGACAGAAAAGAAAGACAGTCTGGAGTTCAGGAGAGAGGTTAGGGATGGGGAGTTAATTTGGGTACCACCTGCCTTCATCAAGGTTAGCAGATGAAGCTTTGAAATTGAATGTGGTTTCCGAAGGAGAGAGTGTCGAGAAGGAGCAAAAAAGGGTCAAGGATGATCCTTGGATAAAACCTAAACTAATAAGGTGGAGAAAAGGAGGAACAAAAGGAGAAGTGACAAGAATGGCAGGAAGACACCAGGAGAGAGAAGGTGGAGAGAAGTTCAAGAAGAGAAGGGCAAAGTGTTAGGAAGTGGGGAGAACTGGGCATCAAATGCTGCAGGGGCCAAGATCAGCAGCAAGGAAAGGCCGCTGAATGTGGGGCCTGAGAAATGCTCAGCACTGTCAAGAGCAAGTCCCATAAAGCAGTGAAGGCTAGAGGTAGATTAAACAGAGCCAGAAATAACAATAACAAAGATAATAAAAATAAAACCTTATATCTGATGCTAAGTGCAAGGCACATGGTAAACACTTCACATGTACTAATTCATTTGATCTTCACAACAACCCTTTGAGGTGGACACTATTATTATCCCCATTTTAAGGTAAGAGGACAGAGGATGGGCCACCAAAGAAAAGACAAGACTACAGATTTCGAAAGTGTGCTCGGCAAAGCCCTAGTCCTGCAAGAGGCAGGAGCACCACAGAAAGGGGCTCTGAGGTTAAGTAAATTTGGTATTCCCTTCTAGGAATGCACATTATTAGTATCTTTAAAGACAGAGAAGCCCTACACTGAAGAACCTTGTTTAATTTGGTTAAATCCAACATTTTCTAAATTTATTTGACCTGTGAACCTTTTTATCGTTAACATTCTATGGAGCAATGTTCTACAAGGCACACTTTGGGAAATGCTGCGGTAGAAGACTCTCATAAAGTCATGGACAGAAGCATTAGGGACAGATACATGAGGAGGCTGTAGGGATACTTCTGCTTCTTTTTTGGGGGTTAGGGAGAGTGTTTTTTTAAGGTAGCAGAGCAAACTTAGGGTGAGCTAAAGAAAGTGACAGAGAAAAGGGGAAATAAAGAAACTTAGTGCCAGACAATAAACGAACAACATATTTATAGAGGTTTGAGCTGGGAGTCCTGGAAAAGAGACCACAAGAGAGAAAATTATGATCAATTCCACACCAGGCCCTTTAGGTTGGCCTGTCCATTCCCATGTACCCAGTGATAACACTCATCAGTTTTACAAAGGCAAACGTCTCCGTGACTTTAGGGAGCATTCTTCATTCATTTAACAACGCAGGCTGGACACTCACTCTGTGCCAGCTGCAATGTTAGGCATTGCCCTCACTCTGATGCCGTCTCTTCTCAACTTCAACCCTTGGTTTTGCAACCTGGACTTTATTTTTGCCTCTGATCCTTTGACTTGAAGCTATTCCTGGGCTTCCCAGGGTCTAAAGATCAGTTTCCCCAGTGGACTCTGGCTAAAGCCTCTTTTGTTCCCAGCATCCCAAGAAGCTTCAGGTGAGAATGTTGGCCTTGTCTTGGCCTGGGCCACGCACCCGACACTGTCCCCTTGTGCAGTATCCCCACCTGGGTGCATTGTGTGTAGAGGCTGATGATACAAAGGATGAAGCATTCAGGCAAGAAGAGACGCTGCCCTCAAGGAGGCTCAAATCTAGCCAGGACGGAGGTGGCAGCTGCTCTCCTTAGGACTGCTTGCCTAGCAGCATATTAACAAGGCATGTAATGGTGTGGCATGTGGTATGGAGGCATCTGTGGCATGACAGGTGGTGGGAATTACTGGGTGAAATCTTCTGGAGGGGAGAGTCTTACACGAGTAGCCCCACTTGGGTGAGAAGGATTGTGGGCAGAAGCCTGGTTTAGAAACTCCACTTTATGAATAAGAATGCGCTGTTTGGGGCCAGAAATGCTGCTCACTCCACCTGGGAAGACAGGCTAAGTGTCTGCTAATATGCAGCTGCAGACCGAGCCTAGGGCCCCGATCAGGCACCAGGCATTTGGCTAGAGAGGGTCTCCCTCAACCAGATGCTTATTATAGACTTGTTCTGAGCACTCAACATGTCTTCTCCCTCCCAGCTGCTAAATGCCCATTTCCAAGTTATTGACATTCACTGGGAAGTATGGTTAATATGCAAATATAGATTAGCCCCTTGCCACTGATGCAGAGCTGCCTGCTTGGCAGCCTGGGGTACTCAAGATTCATAAAATATCTGGCACAAGTAGGGGAGAACAGAGAATGACTGGATGGGGTTGGAGATGGAGGTAGGTTTGATTTTTGGGCTACTAATGAATCTGATTGCAGCCAACACTCGATTATACCCAGGTGGATTACACACTGGGCAAGTCATCTGTGGCAATGTTAAACCCTGTGAGGTTTTACCTATTGCTCCACATACTCAGAAAGCTTCCAAGCAGCCTGACCCAGCAATTAATTGCTGTGCGGTCACAGACGGGTGCCTCATTTCCATACTGGTTGAAGCAAAACATAATTGGGAAGGCAAACATGCTGTCAGATATGTATAATATCTATGTATCCCACTACATATCGGAAGTCAAACAACAGTGAGCTTTGTGATTTTCCACCGTTTTAAACAAATCACCCCACTGCTCCCCCTCTTGCATGGACCACTGAGGAGGTGCAACCCATGGGGCTGTTTTAACAAACATCTGAGAACATACACATTCAAATGTGTTGTTCTTTCAAAATAGACACCTTGGGACTAAGTTGCTGCCTTGCTTGAGAACTTCCAGAAGTTCTTTTCTTTGTTGTTTGGAATTGCCTTTGGAGCCTTTTGTCTGTTCTGTAAAGTGCCCGTGGCCTACCGAGAGGACAGCTCTCCATCTCGGGAGGGCAGGATTGGTTTTTGGTGACAGGAGAAAGAACTCTGGGGCCAACTGTAGTGAGTCAAGTGCAATCTTATACTTCTTACTCATAAAGATTTGTTTTCCTACTTTTCTTTCTTTCCAAGGAAATTGTCTAAGATGAACTCTGCATTTGTGATCATTGCCTGAGCAAGAAGGTGAACTCGTCAACACTCCCCTGAACAAAATAAGCAAGAGAAGGCCAACCCCCTCACCCACCAACAATGACACACATGCCTTTTCTTCTGCTGAGTACACAGCTCTCAGCCTGGCACCCACTGACAGCCACGTGTGTACGAACGATGTCTAACTAGACCCCAGAGCCTCTCCTTTGTGGATCTGCTGAAACACTGCTTCAAACATCTCGCTCCAGGCTAGCTTCCCCTGCAACCCAACCAACTCCTTATCTACCTCCAGGGCCACTGATCAGCCTGCACCAGGGAAGGCAAATTCACATGAATTCAATGCCCTAGGTAGTCAGGAGGATGAAACCATGGCAACAGTCTCCAGCTAATGAATCAAATGTCCCGAGGAGACACTTCAGTTCCTGAGGGGCCATGTTGGCTCCAGGGACCTGGGGCTGGACACTTTTTCAAAGGAGGAGGCTTGAAGCTGTTCTAGGAGATGTCAGTAGCTAGAATGCATGAATCCTCCAAGAGAACCTCTCAGGGGAGATCAAGCCTCCTAGTTGGATCTAAGACTTTATTTTTGATGTATCGGTTAAATAATAAATCAAATGTTTTTGCTTGTAGTCAGAGGGTTGTGTCAGGTGAGGGGTAGC